TGTGGTGCTGTTCCCTGCTTTGAAAAGGGGCCCAGGGGCATGGAGTGCTTGGTATGGTGCAACAAAGAGGTTGCATTTGAGACGCGTCTTTTTCCTGATCTGTGGTGTCATGTTGCTCTGGGGGGAAAAATCTATCTAGGAGGAGGGTCGAGGGGAGAGTCGAGGAGGACCGAGGGAGGTCGAGGAGGAGGGAGGGGCCGAGGGCCGAGGGCCGAGGGACAGGGGCGACCGCGGGAGCCCTGAGGGGGCAGATCTGTGGGGTCCAGGGGGCCCTGTTTCAGGAGGGAAAGAAACACACAGACACAATTAATCGTCGATTCCCCAGAAAATATGGGAAACTATCAGAAGTGGGGGGGAAGACAAAAACCCAGAAAATATGGGAAATATGGGGGATAGTTTTATTTGTGTGTATTTATTTGTGTGTCCTGGGGCCCCTTCACTGTTGTCTCAAAGAGGTGGCGAGCCCCCGGGCCCCGGGTGGTGCCATGCCCTTTCGGCGGCGAGCGAGGGGGCTTGGCATCGCTCGGGCGCGTGCAGGTTTTCTCGGCAAGGACCGTGTCGAGGAGCACTGTAGGCCATCTTGCGAAACATATGCGCACGAAGCCGAAACATTCACGGGGAATGGACGTCCGAGCGATTGCGAGGGGGGGGCAAGTCCACGCAACGTGTCAGGGATGACTTGGCGGGGGGGACGCATGCGAACACCGCCACTGAGGCCTTCGGTGGAGCTCCTGAGGGGGCCACGAAACGTTGTGATGGATGGGGGTGTGCATGCGGACACCGCCACTGGGCCTTTCGGTGGAGCCCTCTATGGGCCCACGAAATGCTGTACTGGGCGGGGGAGACGCATGCGAACACCGCCGTTGGGGCTTTCGGTTGAGCTTCCTATGGGCCCGCCGCCGCTGGGGCCTTCGGTGGAGCTCCCTTCGGGGTCACGGAAGCGTTGTGCCCGGTGGGGGGGACGCACGCGGGGGCCTTCGGTGGAGCTCCCTTATGGGGCCACGCAGCGCTGCAGCGGGTGGGGGAAACGCATGCGGACACCGCCACTGGGGCCTTCGGTGGAGCTCCCCATGCGGCCACGGAGCGCTGTGCTGGGTTGGAGTGACGCATGCGGGCGGTGCCATTGGGACAATCGGAATCGGTCGAGCTCCCGATGTGGCCACGAAGCGCTGTACTGTGCGGGGCTGGGCGCATGCGGGCGGTGCCACTGGGGCATTTGATAAAGCTCCTTAAGGGGCCGCGAAGTACTGGTTGGGGGTAACGCATGCGGGCGGTGCAACTTGGGTTTTCAGTGGAGCTCTTTGTGGGGCCACGAAGCGCTGTACTGGGGGGGGTGACTCATGCGGGCGGTGCCACTGGGGCATTCGGTGGAGATCCTTACGGGGCCACGAAGCGCTGTACAGGGTAGGGGTGACGCATGCGGGCGGTGCCACTTGGGCTTTCGGTGGAGATCCCTCTGGGGCCACGATTCGTTGTACTGGGTGGGGGTGACGCATGCGGGCGGTGCCACTGGGGCCTTCCTTCGGTGGAGATCCTTACGGTACTGGGTGGGGGTGACGCATGCGGGCCGGGCCATTGGGGTCGTCTATGGAGCTCCCGATGGGACCACGAAGCGCTGTATTGGGTGCGGTGACGCATGCGGGCCGTGCCACTTGGGCTTTCGGTGGAGATCCCTACTGGGCCACGAAGCGCTGTACTGGGTGGGGGTGACGCATGCGGGCGGTGCCACTGGGGCTTTCGGTGGAGCTCCCTATGGGGCCACGCAGCGTGTCAGGGATGACATGTGGAGAGCAGAAGACGGTGCTGAAGAATAGAGGCTGCTGACGATGACATGCGGGTGTTGATGATGATGTCGCTGATGATGATGTCGATGACGAAAACGACGAGGACGACGACGACGACGACGATAATGATGATGATGACGACGATGATGATGCTGGTGCTTGATTCTGGTACTTATGACGATGATGATGATGATGGTGGCGATGCTGATCTATATGATGCTGATGATACTGATGCTGATGATGACGATGATGATGAGGATACTGATGAGACTGATGGTGATGGTTATGGTGGTAATGATGGTGACGATGATGATGATGTTGATATTACTGATGACAAAGATGATGATGGAAGAAGGGGGGAGGAGGGGGAAGGCGGAGGAGAGGAACGTCCATGATGACGACGATGATGGTGATGATGATGGTGGTGATGATGGCGATGATGATACTGATGATGCGGATGACGATGATGAAGATAAAGAAGATTACAGGCGGCTCGGAATAGTAGGTCGACCTTGCCAATTCAAGGGTACCTTTGTGTCCTGTGTCTCGCGACCCGTGCCTCCTGCATTCCTATGGCAATATGGCCCCCGGAAGGGTCTTTTGATCTCTCGCGTGTCATGTCCAATGAAGTCCGACTGTAATCATATGTTGTTGTTGATGATGCTGGTGATGGCGATGGTGATGATGCTTTATAATGATGCTAATGCTGCGGGCGATAATCCTGATGCCGATGATGATGGAGGAGGGAGGTGGAAGGGGGAGGAGGAAGGACGGAAAGAAGGAGTGACGCGGGGCGCTGTCTCTTCAAAACGAGGGCCTAACACTACAGGATAGGTGCGAAAACTTCCCAGAAGGCCCGATGACTTCCGAGCCGAGCCCCCTGAGAAGGCCTTCTCCTTCTCACTCCCCCCCCTCGTTCGCCGCCGTTCCCCTCGTGGCATCGCTCGGAAGTGGGCATGCTTCCCAGCGAGGACCATCGAGGAGCCTTGCCCCCGATTGATCCATGGATTTGGCGACCGCACGCCAAATCCATGGATCGCTAACCCATGCCTGCGCGCCCCCGATTATGGGAGAGGCCCTCCTCTGTCTCACTTCCCCGCCCCGCTCGCCGCCGAGCCCACACGACTGGAGCCCCATGGCCCTCGGCTCACCGCCGCCCGCCTTGCTCCCCGCCCACATTTCCCGCACGACTGGAGCCCCAGCCCCTCGCTCGCCGCCGAAGCGGGGCCCCTTGAAGCCATCCCCCCCCCCTGGTTCGGGGGTGGACAGAACCCCCAACAGTGACACGTCGATTAGTGAATTGTCCGTTTTCGGTTCTCGAGAGAGCGCCGTGGCCGTGATTTTCCAGGCTCGCGCCCGCCAGGTTTGGACCTCAGGTCGTTTTCACTAAACCACGTTCTACTAAAGGGGGGTCTGTCCATCCCCCCCTGGTGAGGTCTGTTTGGAAGTTTGAAAACGTCACCGGCCGTGATTGGTTTGGAGGTGGTGGACGGTTGGCGCGGGGCGTGTGCCGCTGTGTGCCGCTGATCGGCTGCCGTGATCTGCCGCCAGTTCGCCAATGTGTTGACCGAGACCGGCTCCTGGAAAAACCGAACGTGACTTTTGTGGTGTCCGCCCTCAGGGGGCAACGATAGGGGGGGATAGGCACAGGGGGGATGCATCGACCCCCCATCGCTCATTGATCGCCGATAGGGCCCCGATAGCCCCAAACTTGCCCAGGAAGGTTCGGATTCACAGCCGGAGGCTTATCGCCGATCTATCGGCGATGTATCGCCGACTCCAGGTCGATGCATCCCCCCCTATGCCTATCGCCCCCTTATCGTTGTCCCTCACCACCGAGCGTGGCCTTCTGTGGTGTCCGCCCCCAGGGGCCCTGGCCTTCGCTGCCCCCCCCCGTGCCGTCGGCGAGGAGGGCGCGGGGAGCGCCGCGGAGGCGGCCGTGTTCCCAGCATGTCGGGAGAGGCTGCCGTCGTGCGCACCGTGCGTTCGAGTTGGACGCCCGCGGGCGGGGGGCCTCGGCCTGCATCGGTCAGGAGGGGAAAAAAACACACACAGACACAATTAATCCTCGATTCCTCAGAAAATATGGGAAAATATGGGAAGTGGGGGGAAGACAGAAACCCAGAAAATATGTGAAAATATAGGGGATATGTTTATTTGCGTGTATTTATTTGTGTGTCCTGGGGCCCCTTCAATCGGGAAAGGCGACGACCCGAAGATAAACTTCTGGAGGTCCGCGCGGATTTCTCGGATCGGTGTTGGATCCCTGGCGGCGCCTCCGGCGCTGCCTCTGGAGCGCTCCGCGCGGCAGAGCTCAAAGAAATCGAGTCGGACCCCCGAAAGTTCATGGTCATGCCATGTCGTTCTGTGGATCTCGACGGGAGAGTCCGAGTTCCTCTCGTGCCTCCTCCACCCACTCTTCCACCCCACCATCTCCTCGTACGCGCTGTCATCATCGTCGTCACCATCCTTCCTTCTCGGGCCTCTGGTCGGCTCTTGAGGCCAGGAAGGGTTACGTGTGAGCATGTTGTAAAATTGCAATGTTTGGGCAAATACTCACACTCGTTGTCAGAAGCAGCTGCTGGGGGGGGGGTGGCTGTAGAAGTCGGCAATTTCGTGGGGGTAGCGACAGAGAGCAAATACAGCACTGGTGTTCCATGTATAGTGGCAAGCGGTGGGTAGTTGCAACAGTCCGGTTCTGGATTCGCGAAATGCAGCGCGACGCAAAGTGCAGAATGCACGTGTTCAATGCAGCAGCTGGTTGCGTCAAGCACAAGGACGTACTTCTCTGAGGCCTCGGGAGGGCATTTCGCCTCCGAGGGAAGTGCTGGACAATAGGTACATGTCGAAAATGCGTCGGAACCGCACATCTGATGGAAATTAGCAGCTTCCCGACTGGTGGGAAGGGGGCTCTGAGAGGCTGTTGAAGCAGGAGGGGGTACGGGAGTCAGGAACGTTGGCTTAGCGTGTCGCTCCGCCGGTTTTGGCCCACCTCGCTTCGGCGCGACACGTTATCCACGCCCCCGCAATCGTCAACGACCCGAGCCGTCCCTGGCCTCCGCCCCGTGGAGCGGAGCGACGCGCTATCCGCTCGCTTGGCGTAGCGTGTCGCCGGGGCCGCCGCCGCGACACGCTATCCGTAAGGTCCTGACCGTAGCTCTTGAAGCCCAGCTTCGTTGAGGGCAGAGCCTGGCAAGAAGAGCCGTGTCTGCCCAGGCCCTCACGGTGGCCGTCCAGCAGAATCCGCGCCTCGTGGAGGGCAGGGGAGGGGCAGCCGAGGGCTCGCCGCATTCGGCTGCGCGCAAGAGAGACACCTTTCGACGGAGTGACCTTCGGTGCGGGCACACTGATGTCCCCAGATGGCTCAAATGGATGCGATACAGTGGAGACCCATGCCAAGAAACACCCTGCTTGCAATCAGGGTGTCTTGGGTTTCGATGGTTTTGCTGTGGAAAGTGCGGCGTCCACACACCAAATATCAATGGACGTCATGGTGTCTCAGGGTCGGGTTTCTTGTGGCTGGTTTCTTGTGGACGAGCTCCTATTGAAGCAGCGGCGTGCGCGCTCTGGTTTGGCCCTCCAGCGACCCCCGGAGGCCGCGCACCAAAGGTCACTCTTGCCTAGGAGTCCCTCTTGCGTGTGGCCGATTCGTGGCGTATGCATAATGCTCCCACCGCTGGATTCGTAGTCGGCTTGAGGTCTGAGGTGGCCGAGCGGTGGCTGCTGGCCAGCAGGGAGAGGGGGCAGGGTCGAGGTTCTTGGGGCGACCAGGTTGCTTGTTTGATTTGGTCCCCAGGTACCGTTTGTGGGTTCCTGGACCGTCAAAAATTGATGCAGGGTGAAAAGCTCCACCAGATGGACCCTGGGAGTGGTTCGGGCACCTGTTTTGAGCGGATCTGGCCGAATCCCCCCCTGGCCGCTTCCAACGTTGGTTGTGTATGCCATGCTCATGGCTGGCCTTGCGCATCGAATGATGGCCTCGGTCGTCTGAGCGCGCTTCGAGCAGCAGCGCTGCTAGTCTGTTTTCAGACTCGCTTGAGGCCGAGTGCAGGAACTCCGGATGTTAGTTCAGTCGAGCTCAAGAATGGGGGCGGCGCAGGATGCGATATTTTCAGCAGATGCGTTAGGGGTCTCATTCCCCTGAAGGAGGGAGGCCGTTCTAGCACCCAGAGTCCGAAAGAGGTGCCGCGCGATTGTGGGGCCGTGCTGTGCCGTGGCGCGCCGCGCCGCCGTGGCTTGCTGCGCCCTGCCGCGTCTGGCTTCCAGAACGCGATGTGGGTGCCGTGTCCGTGCCGTACCTGTCGTAGTGTTTGTCCAGGAGGGGCCTCGGGTGCCTCTCGCCGTGCCTCTCGCCGTGCCGTGCCTACATACCAGCATGCGATCCGAGTTCCGTGCCTGGCCCGTGCCCTGCCGTGCCTGGCCTCCGGAGCGCGACGGCGGTATGCGGGGAGCCTCTCTCCCTCCTCCTCCCTCCCCCTTCCTCCCTCCTCCTGGATCCTCCTCTCTCCCTCCTCCTCCCCCCATTCCTCCCTCCTCCCTCCTCCTAGATCCTCCTCTCTGCCTCCTCCTGCTCATCCTGCTGCTCGACCCATCCGACGGACGTTCAAGACCGATGCGAGCCTCTGGACCGTCATATCGGGCCCAAGTCGTCGTCGTCGTCGTCGGCCGCGGAGGTTTCCCGATGCTCGCCAGGAGGAAGAAAAGGGGCCCTGCGGGAAAAGTTGTCCCCAGGTGTTTGACGTCCTCGGCCTCCCGCAGCCCTCCGTTGAGGGTCAGAAGCCGAAAGACTTCGAGCTTCGATGTTCGAGCCTCGTCCCTCGACGTTCGACGTCGAACCTCGACGTTCGAACCTCGACGTTCGAGCCTCGACGTTCGAGCCTCGACGTTCGAGCCTCGACGTCAGAACCTCGACGTTAGAACCTCGACGTTCCTCCTCCAGGCGTGCGGGTCAGGGAGCGGTCAGGGTGGGTCAAGGGTGTCGGGGGGGGGCGGGGGGGGCGGGGAGTCAAACGGGGTCAGGGGTCATGCATCATGGCCGAGGTATTCCTCTGGTTAGCATCGCTGGTATCAGTATAAGGGGGGTCCAGGGGCGTCTGGGGAGGTCCGCTCTCTCTCCTCTATCTCTCTCTCGCTAGATTCTGTCTCGTGTTCTGTTCTCTCGCGCTCTCTCTCTCTCTCTCTCGGTTGGCATCAGGCGCATCCGCGCGAGGGAGCGAATTTGAGTTCTTGGCCTCGGCATGGCGCGCCGTTTATACGATACCTTCCACTTCGCGAGATCACAGAAAGCGCAATTCGCGCATTCGCGCGAAAAAAAAAACGCCCGACGCTGCGCCCAAGTCACTGCAGGGCAGAGAAAGCGTGCCAATGCTCTAGCCTTGGGAGCATTTCTCGACCGTTTTTCGGTCTCACGGCTGTGTTGTGAAGTCAGGAATGATATCTTAGGCTGTTCCTCCCTCAGTCCTCAGCTCTGTGGACCCCTTTCTTTCCGCCACTTGGACTGACGGCCAGAGTGGGCTTGCTCCGTGAATACAAGAAAAAGCAGATGGCACGTGTGATTGAGTTAGGTCGTGCAGGCATGCGCTGAAAGCGCATTTTCCTTCTTTTGTGCTCCGCCGAAGAGAGGAATACATGTTTCCAAAACGGGGCGGTTGCACGACTGGGTTCTCGCTTGTCCTGCGCAGTGCTCCCGCAGACGGTGCTCGCACCTAGAGGTTCTTATGTGTTATTTGCTTCAGTGTTTGCTTGGGTACTACAGTCGGGGCGCGCATCAAGAAACCGTATGCTCTTCGTCCGGGTATCCTCGGTTGCTCCTCGCGCTGCGCGGCGACTGCCCGCGGCCGTTGACGGAGCTGCTGCGTTCAGGGTGCTCCAGGTTTCCCCTCCGGTGCACCTCGCGCGCGGGATCTCAGGGTTGGCTTCCTTGCGAGGGCTTCTTGCGGCCGCGCCTGCACCGTATGGGTCTTCGCTATGTTGCCGCCCGTGCCGCTCCGAGGGGCGCCTCGTGGGCGCCCCGCGCGTGGAGGGCGCAGCCGAGGTCCCGCCCCGCTGCGGCCCGGGGGCGCCTCGTGGACGTCTCGTGCGCCAGGCGGGGTAATGCCGAGGTTTCGCCACGTTGCCCTTGGCATCGCTCGGGCGTGTGCATTTTTCTCGGCGAGAACCATCGAGGACCATCCTGGACCCTCGAGCAAAAAAAAAAAACACGCACGAAACCGACAAATGCACGGGAAATGGACGTCCGAGCGACGGCAAGTGCCGCCCGTGCCGCCTCGTGGGCGCCCCGTGGACGCCCCGTTCGTTGGGTGGGGACGCCCCGTGCGTAGGGTGGGTTCCCCGCGGTTGCGCCACGTTGCGGCCCGTGTCATCTCGTGGGCGCCTCGTGGGCGCCTCGTGCTCTGAGTTTGCAAGACACAGCGCACATAGCTTGCACCACACAGCTTGCATCGCATACGTTACACGACCTACAGTTTGCATCACGCAGTTTGCATCCCACAGCGTTCACCTTCAGTTCACACCGCCTACCTGACATGGCGTAGCTTACACTACAGTTTACACAACATAGTTTTCGCCGCCATCGTTCACACGACATATTGAAGACAACCTGGCGCACACAACATAGCTTACACCGCACAGCTTTCACATGCACAGTGCAAAACCGCTGTGCTTGGGGCCCACGCCGGCCAACATTCATCGAGTTTTCAACTCGCACTTGTGTTCAGCTTCTCTGTAGAGAAGAAGCCCTCTCTCCTGCCTCGTCCCTTGGCAGCCGTGGGGAGGTGGACTTTGGTGCCGGGGGTACTGGCGCAATCGGCTTCCGGGAAGCGCTGCGGCCAATCGCGTCCACGCGTTCTATGTTGATACTGCGGAGGAGGAGCAGCAGCAGCAGGAGGTGCAGCAGAAGGAAGGGATGAGGAGGACGAGGAGGTTGTGGATGCGGAGGGAGGTAGGAGCAGGAAGCTGTCGACGATGACGGTGGAGACGACGAGATCAGACGGGGGCGAGCAGTGGATAATACTTCCCAACCAGTGGTTGCACTTAGGGGCTTTTACTCCCCCTCTAAGGAACTGGGCGTCTGCGACCCATCGGCCCCGTTCCTGTCCGTCGCCCGCCCGTCGCTCCGATTTCCAGTCCCCGGTCTGGTGGCCCCGTTCCCGTCCGTCGCCGCACCACGCATATAGCACGGCATGGATTCCACAGCATAGGGTGCACCCCATAGTTCAGACCACGCATTTTGCACCACACAGCTTACTCCACATAGCTTGCGCCACATAGCGTGGACCGCACAGCTTGCACCACGCAGATGGTACCACGTTGATTGTACCACACGTGCAGCACACAGCGTGCACCGCATAGCGTTCACCACATAGCATTCAACGCATAGCTTGCAACACACAGCTTACACATCCAGAGTGGAATGCCTTTGTGTTTGAGGTCCACGCTGGTTGACATGGTGCACTCGCGCTCATAATTGCAAGTGGTGGGTTCGGAATCGCGCTTGACACGTTGGCGTGATGTTGTGTAAAGGGACGTGGTGCGAGATCGTGGCTCCATGCTAGTGACATAAGGCATCATATTTAGAAGAGAACGTGTCCGATGCCCGAACGCCGACATCATTGAATGTGGTTGTGTGTGTGTGGTTCGACAGCGCTTGCCACTGTCTCAAAAAAAATTGAGCATGTACGTATCAAGCCACGTGTAGCCGATGCGAATGCATTGACATGGTCTTGCCCCCCCCAGCAAGGGTCGTAGCGAAGTCTGGATTCCGATCGTCGATTCGTTTTTCTCCGCATGACTTGTTGCCGTCGACGAGTGCACTGTGCATTGCGTTTTGTTCAATGGTGTTTGTGCCAACGCTGTGTCGTCTCATGCCGATTGCGATGGACTTGTGCTTGTTCGCAGGACAAGGCGCGGAATTTTGGACTGGACTTGTGATTTTGAGCCTGGCCAGCGTGCGGATTAGGCAGGGCGAAGGTGATGCTGTAGATAGGTTGGATTGCTTTAGGCCCAGACGCATGAATCATAGCGTCGGCGTCTCCATCACCACCCTACTCGCAGCATGTGCCATATTTACGCGATCAAATTATTCCCCTTCCCGACAGACAGGATTTTGAATCCATGCTTCAAGGGCTCCCACGAGGGCGCGAAGTTATTCGCGCTTCGCGCTTCGCGGTCCTCGTTCCTTCTCCCCCTCCTCCTCGTCCTCCTTTTCTCCCTTTGGGGGGGCGGCGCGAGGGCGCGAAGTTATTCGCGCTTCGCGCTTCGCGGGGCGCGAAGCGCGAAGTTGGGAGCCCTAGTTTTCAGCACGCATTATCAGGCGGCGCGCTGGCCAAGAAAGGCAGGCAGGACGGACACAAGCATTCAAGTGATTTTGCTCGGAGCGATCCCCACCAGAGAGCCGCGGCGCATGTGCTTGGTGCTCCTGTTTTTAAGCGCATGTGGCGAATGCGGCCGAAAATGGCCCACAAATGAGTGCTGAACAATCGTGCTGAAACAAGCACGCTCAGCAAATGGCGAAACACATTGCACCTGACAGTGATATACAGTGCCCATGACACATAAACAGAAAGCTGCGGCCGACAACGACAGAAACCATTGACAAACACAATCGGCATATGAACACGTGAAGTGCAACTAGTGGTGGGAAGCACACATGGCAGGAAACATTGACCATGGAGTCGTCGGAAGGTGCATGTACCCTGTGTATCTCTCGGGGCCCAGAATCAAGGGAGGAAAAAACAGCCAGACCGGACACTTGGCTTTTACTAAACGGCCTTGGGCGTTTACTAAACAGCCCTGCCCTGTTTGATTCCTTCTTCAGGTGCGTTTGCTAAACGGCTTCGCGTGCCGGGGTGGTTATTACTGGGGTGGATTTTCTGCCTTCTACAGAACCTGGACCCCGACTCCCTGTAGTGGAACGCGGCCTCGAGGGGAAAATGTTTCAAGATGGTTCCATGTGGCCCCCCGGACGCAACAAGCGCCCGCTGGGGAGGTCCGGCGGGGACATCCAGGAGGCAGGGAAGTCCCGGAGGACCCTCTTCGGGTATAGCCAGGACCCCAGGTAAGGGGACCCAGTTAGTCGTAGGGCCCCAGAGCCCCTGAATTGGCCAGAATCGCGAAACCAGGTCTGCCGTAGCTGGTGTTGTTTCGGGTGACGGCAGTTCCGATTAGTGGAACGGGCCAGGGGGCGCGTCCCCCAGTACACATCCATAAACCAGGTCCCACTAAACCCAGTTCTGTCAACGCCCGACCTCTGCAAGACGACCAGGACAGACAAAGATGGTCACGGGTTGAGTCAAGATGGCCCAAACGGCCCCCAAGACGGGCCACGGAAGGCCCCAGAGGACTCTGAAACCGTGCGTACGCAGGCGGCCGAAATCATTGACAAGCAAGTTAATTTCGAAAGTCGTTTGAGTGATCGTTCTTTGGGGTTTCGCAGCCTCCAAGAGTCCAGGATCGCCCCGGGACGGCCCAAGGAGGTTTCCAGGGAGCCCTAAACGCTCCCGCAATGGGTGCGGCAAAACAGTTTCCCCAAGAAGTTCCGAGATGGCCCCACGCGAGCCCGAAGAGCCCGAGACGGTTCTAACGTGGCCCCGAGAGGTTTTGAATGCACCCAAAGGGGAGGGGGAGCCCAAGGGCGTTCTTGGAGCACGCGTAGACCATCACTGCTTTTCAGCCCCCCCCCCCCCATTCTTACCACAACTAAATGAGTCAGTGGAACCACGAGTGGACTCGTGTACTTCCACCACGGACAGTCTGGTGGCGCTCGCGGAGTCCAAGGATTTTTCGTTGAGCTTCAGAATGCACATGAAATAACTTGCTTTCATAAGTCAGCTTTCTAGCTCGGAACGCGTTCGTGGCGTTGCACGAACGCTCTTGCTGCGTTTGTGCCCTGCGTTCCTGGCCGTACAGTGCGCCAGCATTTTCTTTGCGTCCGTGGACTCCACGGACGCACGCGCGTGCTCTCAAGGATAGGGCGGCCACCGTGGAATACAATAACGCCGGTCTTGCCCCCGAAAGTACAAGAGAATCGCGTGGCTTTCATCGTTAAGTTTTTTGAAATTGAAGTGCGTCCGTCTGCGGCAGGCTACCCAACGCCCCAGTGGTCGAGCAATCGAACAGACAAAATAACAAAAACTAACAAACAAAACACGGAACTACTTCACGACGTGTGAAAATGCGAATCTCGCTGCGTTGTCGCGCGGGAGTTTTCATTCCACCGAGCACTGGGAGGCTCATTGATTTGGACTTCTCAGCGTGTCTCACGGGCCGCGCTGGCGCGCGGGCTCTTGAGCGCGGGTCGGTATAGTGGTGACCTCGACACGGGCGAACACGATATGGATGATGATGTGATGGTGGTGGTGGTGATGATGACGACGGCGGCTAGGCCAATGGTCGGGCGAAGAGATTTATGCACATGCACCGATCCTGGCAAGGCCCAACCTTGACCCAGGATCAGTGCATGTGCCTTCCTGGCCAAGGTAGGAGGGCGTATGCACCGATCTCTGGCTCAGGATGGGCCTGGCCAGAATCGGTGCATGTGCATAGTTCTTTTTCCTTTAAATGGCGGCGCCGATGCTGTTCACGCCGATGACGATGACGATGTCCATGTGTCGCCGAAAAGAAGATGTGTATTAATTTCGACGTGCGCCCGCGGCCGACGCGCGCGCGTGGCCCGCATGGTTTTTGCTAGCAGGGATCGCGCCGCCCCCCCCCCACCCCGCCCCACCCCGCCTTCCCGCCCCCCACAGCAGGCGCGCAAGGGCGTTCGAATGATTCCAACATGCTGCGGGCAGGAGGCCAGCGTGAGCCCTTTTGCCGCAAATGATGAAACATCAAACCATATGTTCTTACGTGCTTTCGGGGCCATCGATCTTGAATTCCTTAGGGGACCTAGGTTTTTGGAAAGAATTCGACATGCGCGCTCGACGACGCGCGCGCGTGTGAACGTTGTCATGGCATTTGTTTCAAGGGTGCTCTGGAAATGGGTTGATTGTTTTCGAGGAGCGGGTGCGCTCGCATAGCACTTTTGACAGTGACGATAGAGGGTCCATACGGGGTCGCCTTTGGATGGCCTGGGCTCATATTAAAATTGAAGGATGGGGCGGGGACGAATGTCAATCTCGATGTCCACGGGGGTGCCTGTAGTCCCGACCTCGAGAGGGTAGTGGATCTAGAAAGTAGTACCTCCATGGTGCAGACTACGTCGAGCAAATCACGCGGTGCGGTCGATTTGGTGCAATTTACCAACGTTCGCCGTGAGTTGTCACAGTCACTGTTCGCGTAATCACCCCACCCACCCTCTCGCAGCTTGGTTTTCAAAATCTATGCAACGGCGATTGGGATGAATGTTCGGCGTTGGCTGGTGCATCTCCGCGGTCCGCGCTAGCCCGCGCACGCTCGCGCGCGCAGCGGCCGCTTAGTGTGGCGCGACCGACGCGGCCGCGGTGGCGCTGACCGCTGGGCACTTCCCACCGTGCATTTCAATGCGATTCGGTAGCGATGACGATGTCTCGCGTCGGTGATGATGGTCCCAGGAGGACTTCGGCATGCGCGTGATGTCATTTGACACGGATCGCGTCCCCCCAGCACGCGCGAATTCGACATGCGGCGGGAGGGGTTGTTTTGGCAGAGTGTGATGACAATGTTAAATGTGTCACGTTTGTTTCTGTCGTGTTTGAAAATTTGTCCGATGACAAGAAAACGTTCACAAGAGCGCGCGCGCAGGTTTTTTTCTTTGTTAAATGATTCGCAAAGCAGCACATTCTTCATACTTGTTCGAGGCGCTGCTTGACATCTTTACGAAGCTGTGAGTTGTTGACAGATTTCAGCATGCGCGCGCGACGACGCGCGCGCGCACTTCGTTTCATTGCTGTTGGGCAAAATGTCTTGCGACACGCGCTTCCGACACGCGATTCGAGCGATTCCGACATGCGCGCGCGAGGGGCATGTTTGCCAGTAAGTGCCGAATGTGTTGGATAACGCTTTGTTTTCTTCAGAAGCCGCGAGAGCCCGGGCGCAAGTATTGTTGAACATATTCGTGTTGCAAAATCATGTGTTCTGTATGAGTCTTTGGGACAGTCGGTTCAAACCTATTCCAGCTAGTTGCGATTATGTGTCTACAGAAATGACTATAACAAACTTGGTTTTCTAAAGCACTCGCAAATATCCGGTCTCATTTGTCAATAAAAACGTCGCGATGCAAAACGATGTTATATGATTTCGGGGCACTCGATTCTGACACCTTTACGAAACCGATTGCTTCCGAAGGACTCCGACATGCGTGCCAGCCGAAACACGCGTGCACATGTCGTTGCATTTTCCATTCCGAGGAGGTTCTTGAGAAGACGAGTGCGCGCGCATAGTTTTTCCCAGGGGATGAGGGGGGGATACAGGCCTGCCTGGGATGGTACGAGGTCAAATTTAGGATGGACGATGGGGCAGAACCGCCTGTACCTTGCAATATGACAAGGTGAATTGTTAACCCTGGGGGGAATCATAATAAGTAGTCCTTTTGAAAGGAAAATCTCAATTTCAAAACTTTAGAGTTGACAATTCCACTGCTCGCAAAATTTCCACGCACCACCCGCGACCAGGTTCGAAAAATCCGTGCGGCTTCGATTTCGGCGCTTGTTCGGCACTGGCTGGCGTCCAAGCTCGCGCGCACAGCGGCCAGCGAGTTGGGCACAACCGCCGCGGCCGCAGTGGCGTTGACTGATGGGGTCTCCCCAGCATGTCTCACACGCCGCGCTGGCGCGCGGGCGCTCCAGTTCGCGTCGGTGGCTCGGGAGAGCGCGGTGCCGGGGTGACGTCGGCAACAGCGGAAACGTTTGTGATAGTAGCGATGCTGATGACGGTGGTAACGATGACGACGGCGAGGCCAGTGATGGTGCCGATGCCGGTCGCGCCGGAGACGATGATGATGATGTCCGCGT